GCAAATTAAAAGCTAAGACAGAAAATCCCCTTCCAATAATACAACTGTGACATCTCCCTGACAAAAAAATTTGCTTAGGCCCTGATAACAGTGTTCATCTGGGAACAACACACCCAATTCAATTTAAACAAAAACAAACAAACAAAAACATAAACTACTATCTTCAAACCACAGATAGTCATGAGTATCTGGCTCCGGTGGTTTATAGGAAGTCAGTTTGGGTCTTAGTGAAAAATGCTGATCAGGAAGAGTCCCACAGGGCTGTTGGACCGAAGAGGAGTTACAGAAAACCATCCTCAAAAGGCTCTAATGTTTGTTATTGCATTCCTAAATGCTGGATGCACTACCAAAGTTCCATCACTTCCCAAAAAACACAGATCTCAGTATCATATCCCAGGAAATAAGACAAACTCCCTCATACAAACGTGAACAAACCCCAGCAGCAAGTGCTATTGTTTATAAACAGACTGCACTGAAGGAAGGGGAAGATCATCATATTTTCCTTATATGTCACTCTTAAGTAAGATTTACAGATTTATGAAAGCAAGAAAAAAAACTGGGGAATCAAAGTCCTAGTTATACATATTGCCATGGGTCAACTTTCATTAACAACATCTACTATGCTAGACTCTTAAGAAGTACTACTGATGAAAAGCATGTAAGCACATTTCTGTATCTGTATCATAGTAAGTTAAAAAAAAAAAAAAAAAAAAGGGCAACTGGGACCAGTGGATCACACCTATAATCCCAGCACTTTGGAAGGCTGAGGCAAGGGAACAGCTTAAGTCCAAGAATTCGAAACTAGATAGTCAACATAGAAAGACCCGGTCTCTACAAAATAAAAATTTTAAAACTGGCTAGGCACAGTGGCATACACACCTGTAGTCCCAGCTACTCAGAAGGCTGAGGTGGGAGAATGCCTTGGGCCCAAGAATTCAAGGCCACTGCAGTAAGCTGTGATTGCATCACTGCACTCCAGCCTGGATGACAGAGCAAGACCCTGTCCCAAAGAAAAAAAAGAAAAAGGTATACAAGTTTCCACCTTCTAATGGCTTTCAATCAAATGCTTATTTAAAGGCATTCTCACTTAATCACTTGATAAATGTTACATAGGCAAAAAGATAAAAGTTTTAACTTCACTTTCACATTTTCCATCAGAGTCTCAATTTCCGTATTTTAAGAGTTAATATTAATCTCTACGGTCATATGCTACACTAATTATTTAAAGAGTGATCATTTGTTATATAAAACCTGACTCATTAATTTACTTCTCTAGATCCAAACATCAGACATTAATAAGACAACCCTATTATACACACCATAGATAGTAAGCAACTTGTGAAATCTGCTTGTAAGAAGTGATGACTAATTTCAGGGAGACCTTAACAAAGTTTCTCCTTTCCATCTGCTCAAATTCTTCCAAGTTATCATAAAGCATTTTCAGGACATTAGTCCCTGACCAACCTCTCATTCACAGTGGAATTTTTATTAATTTTCTTAGCTGGGATTTATTAACCCTGAAATATACACACAAGTTACATCAGATTAGGCCCCCTGTTGCCTCTAGTCCTCCAAGAAGCAGAAGGAAGGCTTCAGAGTGCTTCAGGATAGACTTCCAAAGAATATCTCAGAGGCAGGCAGCTGCTCTGGGGTGACAGAAACTGGAGCACCCTGAGCCAGCCCACTCTTGCCCCAGAGTCCAGCCAAATGGTGGAAAACACAAGAGTTTTCCCTCTCCAAAAAAAACAACAAATAGATTGCTCTCAATCTAGGATGGTCTTTAAAAATATCTTGTTTACAAGATGAACCTAAAGCCTGGTGAAGGTTCCATATCAACTGAAACCAACTAAAATGGACAATTTAGAGGAACTCAACACCTATCTAAATAAACCATTCTACTAGACACCAAAAATGACACATAGTGACCAACTTGCTTGGCTCTACTAAAACTCAAAAAAAATTCAGTACCCAAACTTGCCAAAGAAATGTATTGCAACCTTCTTTTACTATGTTTGGTGTTATGAAGTTAGAAGCAGTGAAAAAAATAAATAAAAATCAAAAAAAGAATCAACTCAAGTTCTGGATGCTGGACTACATTAATGGTTTTCATTATAATGTTTAGCTCTGAAATGAGCTCAGACATTCTGGGAAGGTATAAACCTCAAGTGGTAAATGTTTCAGAAAAAGGACCACACTAATTATGGCTTCAGAATAGAAGTTCCTTTAGTCATAAGCTAAAGTACCAGAGAGCAACATGCTCTGCATCAGGGGTACCCAATCCTAGGGCCGTGGACCTGTTAGGAACCAGGCCACACAGCAGGAGGTGAGTGGCATAGCAGGTCAGCAAGCATTACAGCCTGAGCTCCACCTCCTGTCAGATCAGCAGCAGCATTAGATTCTCATAGGAGCCCGAACCTTACTGTGAACTGCGCATGCGAGGGAGCTAGGTCGCATGGTCCTTATGAGAATCTAATGCCTGATGATCTGAGGTGGAACAGTTTCATCCTCGAAACCTCCGACTCCCCCACAACCCCACCCCTGTCTGTGGAAAAACTGTCTTCCAGGAAACCAGTCCCCGGTACAAAAAGGTTGAGGATCACTGCTTTCTATTTTACATCAGGTCTTTCCATAAGCAGATGGCAGCCTAAACAGTAGGCAACAGATTCCTAAGAGGCACGACAACATAGTGGCTGGGAGCCTGGGCTACAAAGGCTACCTGTTCAAATCTCAGCTTACAGGTGTATGACCTTGGGCAAGCTAATTAATCTCTCCGTGCCTCAGTTCCCTCGCCCACTGAAGTTTACCTAAGATACCAAGGCTAATGTCACACACATAACGGTTAAGCTTACAGAAGGGTCTTATAATGTCTGTCTGCTTGGGGAGTCAGTGGCCCTCCGAGCACTCAAAGAATATCTTCTTTCTGCAGTGAAAATCCAGTATAGAAAATCTGAGAAAGGCAATCTTAAATACAAAATGTTCTACCTCCCAGTTCAGTACCAACAGCCTTCTCCTCCAGCAGCCACTTTCACCTTTCATCAAATGCTTTACACTTAAAGCAGAACTTCAGCCTCTCATGGAGGACTAAGGATGGGTATTACAATATTGGAATTAGCTTTGCGTAAGATTTCCCAGTAACTGAATGAGTCACTCACGTCTTTAGAAATAGAGAAAATGTCAAGGTTGCCAGAAAACCCAGGTCCAGATGTTTGCATAAATCATTTTCAAGTGATCATCAAGCCAAAGCCAAAGGACATTATTTAAGCAAATGCTTTAAGTAAAATATATCACTTTTTATGATTTTCTTGTAATGGAGGAAATTCTGAAAATGAGGTTACTGGAGGGAAAAAAATTACAGTAATTTCAATCCCAAAATTACACAACATATCAAGCTAAGCTTACAACTCCTTACCTTTTTCCAACTGTTCTCTCCAACCTCATCAAGAAGCACTAGACAAGCTCTGAGCTCAAGATTTAAAGATGCCCATAGTGCTTGTTTCTATTTTCTCTGTCATACTACCTAAGGGAAGCAGAGGCTTTTAAAATTTTGATACATCTCTCTGCAGCAAGATTTTTAATACCCCTCACCGACAAAACATGTTGAGTGCTCTGTATTGATGATAGCACCCATAAAAGGGTCTTTTTTCACTTTCAAAATAATTCCAGTAAAGTTTGTCCTTTAATCTCAATTAAATTCATGCCATTTGCTCTAGCATAACAGAAAAAAATGGCAAGAATATTCTTTAGTCATTTAAGTTGTCACAAAAGAGAAAAAAATATCAACTTCACGTCTAGGCTTCTCTCTCTCTCGTAAGTCAAGTAGGAATAGTTAGATTGCCCTGTCAGGGTTTGAGTTCTTCAGGTTCATCCGTTCCAGAGCACACTACATAATACCCAGTTCCACCGCAATTTCTGAAGTGCACACGTTATTGGCAAATAACTTGAAACTGAACTCGCACATGCCGCGCGGCGGATACCCTTCCAAAGGGAACAGATTGTGTCCACTTTGCTTATTTTCGGTAACTTTAAATAAGACTTTGGATGGGTCGTTTTCCCAACTCATTTACCAATTTTACCACTGGACGCAGGGCTGAGCGCCCCACAGCTTTCGGCCGGAGTATAACACGCGCTTCCCCACTCGGTTCCCCATGTCTGCCACAAACAATCAAGAGGTAATAGCTGAAGAATGACGACACTAAAATCAACCTACAGATTCACATCTAAAACGGCCGCAACATGAAATAAACTTCTCTCTCTTCAGAGGCAGTGAGGAAGAAAAAATAATAATAAGGCTAGGTGGGGTCGGTTTGATCCATTTCCGAGACTCGGTGAGCGCAGGGATCTGGGCTGGTGCGGGCGACTTAACCCCGTGAGAGCCGAGAACGACCCCACCGCCATACGCGGGCCCCGGGCTGGGGGGGGCGCCTCACGCCGCGCCCGTTCCCCCGCCAGCAGGTGCCCGAAGCCACCCCAACAGGCCGGGTGCGAATGCCGGAACATGGCCACTTCCCTGAGCGCTATGCCGCCGCCGCACGCCGCCCGGCACTTTGTTAACTCGGCGCGCCCGGGCGAGATGGCTCCCAAGAGATGGTCATTGCCGTCCGAGAGCTACAGAGCCCTGGCTGGCGGCGGCTGGGACCCTCCTCCGGCCAGGCCTCGCCCAGCACGGGTGTGGGGCCACGGCAGGAGGAAGAGGTCGGGGAGGAGCCGGTAACCAGGGACCCGCACGCCTGGTCCCTCGGAGCCCCGCGCCCCCTTCCCAGGTGCTTACCTGAGGAAAGGAGCCCTCGCGGCGCGGGTTCCTGGGGTAGTCTAAGTGACCCCGGTCCAGCATCAGATAAAGCGAGAAAATCACCACACAGAAGATCGCACTGCCGAACACGGTGAACTGGCGGCTTAACTTCATTTTCCTCGATAGACTCGGGGCCAGGACACTGTCCTCAGCCAGAGGAGACAGCGGACTGTTGACTCCAGGAAGCAGCCGCCGGAGGCTCCCTTCTCCCAGGCTGCGCGCCCTCCGCGCTGTCGGCTGCGGGTGCGAGTCCCAGCCGTGCTCCGCACCTAGTCTCCGGCGCCACCACACGCCCTTGGCCTTCGCCCTGGCCTGCCGCCCTCCCCGGGGCCGGGCGCCCCTCTCGAGGAGAGAATCGCCGGCAGCTGGGAAGGGGCCCCCACAAACTTGATCGTCAGCTTAGCGTCGACCTCCGGCAGGGCGCGCGGGGCAGGCGGAGGAGAGGTCGCTGCCCGCACTTCCTGCCACCGCCGCGCCAACTGAGTCGGCAGGAAAAGTTTTCTCGACGAGGGCAGGCGTGTCCTCCTCACCCAGGGGAGGCGCGGGTTCGGCAGTTCCCGGGCCGGGGCCGCGCAGCTAGGTCACAGAAGCGGAGGAGAAAGGAACAGGGTCGTGAAGAGCCTAGCCCTACAACTTCTAGCCGGGACGGTCGGGCCCGCCCCCGCGGCACCGCCCCCGCCTCCCCCAACTGAGCCCCTTCCTGACGCCGCCGCCGCCGCCGCCGCTGCCGCCGCTGGGCCGGTGTGCACCCTGGACTTCGGGGCGCACGGATTGATGAGTTTCCTCAGGGCTAGCGTCCGCTTGCCGGCCTCTCCCGCCCCCAGCCGTCTCTACCTTCCCCCTCCCGAACCCAGGCTGCGCAGGGAGGTGCAGGGGGCGGGCGGTGGCAACGCGGGGAGAAGGAAAAGGAGAGCAGGGAGAAAAGGACCGTCCCCAGAGAGAAGCCCGCTCCAGCTGCAGCCGCGAGCCCCCTCCCTCTTTCCCGCCCCACAAACGCGGAGATGGCGGCGGCAGCGGCGAAAGGAAGCGCCGGTTCTCCAGCGCCACTTGGCGCTCCAGCACCGCCTGCTACGAGCAGGAGGAGACAGCGGCGGCGCGGCGGCCGCTGGGTCAATAAGCGCCGACAGCCCCTGAGCCGAGCGGGCGGCTGGCCCCGCCCCCTCCCGACGCTCCGAGTTGAGGGGGCGGGCCCCCCGGCGCCCAATCGCAGCGCGTCACCGGCCGGACCCGCCCCGCGCCTGCCTCCCAGTGTCCCGGCGGTAGGAAGACCTTACAAAGCTCTTGTGACCTGGCAGGCAGCTTTCTGGGAGTTGAGGCCTTTGGAGGCATTCAGGCGCCAGCACCCCACGTCCAACAGGGGTTGAACTTACACTCCACTTCCCTTTGTTGCCCAGGTTTCCTATCCTAGGACACTCGGGCCTGGCGTGCCTGGAAGAGTACTTAGTGAAGGGTTGGAGGAAATGCAAGAGAAGAGGGCTTGCACATTCTCTTCGGGCTATTTCCTCCTTTGGTCACAGCCCGTTGAAACCTGGGGGAAAGGAGACTGACAAAGGGCCGTCCAGGCACATGTAGAAACATCTGACTGCCAAATCCATGAGTGTAATCTGAGAAGTGATGCTTGTGCCAGTTATTGATTGCCTCTCAGCTCCAAATTCACCCTTTTTGACTGCACTGTAAAAATGGATCTGAGCCTTTTAAACAGTTTTTCGTTTGCCTTCTGGGACTGAAGCTTTGTCAGTAGAGGGCGCTGAAGAGACATTACAGAAAAAAAGGATTTTGCTTCCTGGTTTCTGTGTATTGATAGGCTTTTGCAGCATATCTGGCTTTCTCCAGTGCCAAGATGCTATAGTGCTCAGTAACTAGCAATTTCCTCTCCCATGCCCAACTCCAGGAGCTTTGTAGAGGAGGTGAGACACTACCCCATGAATAACTTCCCTGGTACCCTAGAGGCATTTGCAGCAAGTTACAGAGGGCACATCTTCCACAAGCTTTGCAGGCGTAGCCCATTGGTGACTTCTCTGCCATTCAGTGAGCCACGTCATGCCCTCTCCAAAAAGGTCTAGATCTTAGCCCTGGGAGGAATTGGGGAGATTCTTCATTGGGCACTCTGTCTCTCAGTTCAAGAGTTAGTTATAAGGTTAGCTCCTTATAGCTGCTGTTGCTATATTCTTTAAAGTTCTCTTTTCACTAGTGAATCCTTCATTACTCTTAATTCTCTATTATAGTTAATAATTCTTTTTATTAAGCCTTCCCTGTCCCGGGAGTAGTCCCAAGAAATAGACCTGCAAAGATGGGATTAAAGGTCAGTTTGATTGAGGTTTTGAGCTTGAGCTCCTTGCCAAAGGGAAATGTAATTCATGACATGCTGGGCATCTCAATTAAGCAATTACCTGTGGTTGATCCTGATGAAGTGCCAACTGAAGCCTGTGCCTTGGGGGCCCAAGTGGCTGCTACACTTGACTGCTATGGTTATAAAGGTGACTAGAAAGACTGGTGTGGGATGGATTCTTTTGAGTGGTTAGTTATAAAGAGAAATGAAAGCACAGGTTTTTTAACTCTCAGAGTTATGGTATGAGAACCAGAGATATTCTGTAGAATTCTAAAAGCTCTGGTTTATTGTAGCAACAAGAATGATGCTGAGAAACAAAATTTTAATTTTCATGTTACTAAATTGTAACTGCTATTAAATTCATACACATTCTGAGTTTTTCGTGTAAAAGGGTGTTATTTTTTAATAATAGAATCTCAATACTTGAAATGGGTTGGACCCAGATGAAACCGACAATCTTAAACACTCCAACTCTTTCTCTTATCAGTGGAAGTAGGTTGCCCTCCAGTGTCTAAAGAGACTAGACTTGCTTGAAAACGTTGACTATAGAGGATGCCACTATCTAGATGGGCTCCCTGGTTTCAATGGGGATGACACAATCTCGGAATAGCAGAGGCCAGGCAGCACATAACCAACAAAGACAAGGTGGGCACATCTACCTTAAAGGGCAGCAGGAAATCAGACTGCCTTGGCTTACAAAGCTGCTCTGGGAACAAAATAGGTAGGCAGTTGAAATAGATTATTGCTTGATATTTATAACAGTTGTAAAGATCTAGGTCAGGTAGCCAAAACCTGACTTGAGTCACCACAGTGGGTAGTCACAATCTCCCAGTTCTCAGACCTAAGTCAATTCACAGACCCTTAGTCCCTTGGTTGAAAGAGAATCTGTGTTCCCTTTAAGAAGGATCTTGCACCTTGGCCACAGTACACATGGAAAATTCTTTCAAGCTTTCCCCAAAATGACATGTGGCCATTTACTAGTGACTCTGCATTGGCGAAAAGGAAATACACAGATCATTTTAGGTTTACTAAACACTGGCTCTGAGTTGATGCTAATTCCTGGGGACAGAAATCACCACTGTTAGTCCACATACCAACTATGTGTCTACTTTCCCAGTGTAATTGGAATATGTATTAATGACATAATTTTAATGCAAAAACAGCAATTATTTTGGCACCAACCTAATAATTGTAATAGACATACTTAGCAACTGACAGGAAGCCCACATTGGGATTTAGCCATAGAAAGAGAACCATTATTAGGGAGAGCTAAATGGAAGCTCCAGGAGCTCTTGGAGCTTCCATTTAGTTCACCAGATGCAACACTGCATGGCTGGGAGGAATTGCAGGAATCAGTGCTACCATAAAAGTCTTAAAAGGAGTAGGGGTGGTGATACTTATTCTCATTTAATTCACCAGTGCAGAATAAATCTAGTAGAATAACTGTGGACTCATAAACCTAATCAAGAAGTGATTCCAATTGCTGCTGCTGTCTCAAATGTATTATTTTTACTGGAACAAATCAACATAAGACTTGGCACTTGGTATATAGCTACTGATGTGGCTAATGCTGTTTTCTCTATACCTATTTGTAAAATCACCAGAAGTAGTTGGCTTTCTCCTGTCAGGGCCAACAGGATACCTTCACAGTATTGTCTTGGGGGTGTATCAATTCACTTTAATATAGTCCACAGAGATGTTGATTGTCTTGACATGCTATAAAATATCACACTAGTCCACTGCATTGACAACATTATGCTGATTGGACCTGATAAGCAGGAATTAGCAAGTATTTTAGGTGCCTTAATAATATATATTTAAACTAGAGAGAAGGAGATAATGATCTTGAGTATGATATGACAACTCTAAAGTGGTCACTTCAGATGTGGGATATGTTCAAGGATGGTACAAGCTATATGAGTACAAAACCACGGAGTCACTGAGAGATGAATCCAAACAGATGGTGTTGGTTAGCAATGGTTAGGATTTGGGGAAAAGGGGCAAAGTAATTGTTGCAGGGACTGGTCATACCAATCATGTGGCCATGGAAGGAAAGTGGTATAGGCTGAATGTTTCTCTTTAAAATACACATGCTGGCCGGGCGCGGTGGCTCAAGCCTGTAATCCCAGCACTTTGGGAGGCCGAGGCAGGTGGATCACGAGGTCAGGAGATCGAGACCATCCTGGCTAACATGGTGAAACCCCGTCTCTACTAAAAATACAAAAAAAACTAGCCGGGCGTGGTGGCGGGCGCCTGTAGTCCCAGCTACTTGGAGGCTGAGGCGGGAGAATGGCTTGAACCCGGGAGGCGGAGCTTGCAGTGAGCCGAGATCGCGCCACTGCACTCCAGCCTGGGCGACACAGCGAGACTCCGTCTAAAAAAAATAAAATAAAATAAAATAAAATAAAATAAAATAAAATAAAATAAAATACACATGCTGAAGTCCCAACCCCCCCGTACCTCAGAGTATAATAGTATTTAGAGATAAGGTCTTTAAAGAGGAGATTAAGTTAAAAAGGCGATTAAGTTAAAATGAAGCTGTTAGTGAGGCCCTAATCCAATCTGACTGGTGTCCTTATAAGAAGAGAGAGAGACCAGGGATACATGCACACAGAGAAAAGGCCATGAGAGGACAGATTGGGATGGCAGCCATCTGCAAGCCAAGGAGAGAGAGGCCTCAGGAGAAACCAAACCTGCTGACACTTTGATCTTGGACTTCCAACCTCCAGACTGAAAAAATAAATAACTGTTGTTTAAGCTAGCCAGTCTTTGGTATTTTGTTATGCCATCCCTAGCAAACAAATACAGAAGGCAACCACCCAGCTGATAGAAAATATTAGGTAGGTGCAAAAGTATTTGCGGTTTTTGCAGGTAATGGCAACTGCGATTTTTTAAAGGTAATGGCAAAAAAAAACGCAATTACTTTTGCACCAACCTAATATTTGCAAATCACATATTTATTAAGGGACTAATATCCAAAATATATTATGAGCCCACATAATTCAATAGTACATAAATAAATAGTCCAATTTTAACATGAACAAATCACCTGGATAAACATTTTTTCAAAGAAGACATACAAATGGCCAACAGCTAATATTAAAAGGTGCTCTAGGTTGGGCACCGTGGCTCATTCCTGTAATTCCAGCACTTTGAGAGGCTGAGGCAGGCAGATCACTGGTGAAACCCCTTCTCTACTAAAACTATGAAAATTAGTCATGCATAGTGGGAGGTGCCTGTAATCCCAGCTACTGTGGAGGCTGAGGCAGGAGAATCGCTTGAAGCCAGGAAGCGGAAGTTGCGGCGAGCAGAGGTTGCACCACTGCACTCCAGCTTGGGTGACAGAGGAAGACTCCATTTAAAAAAGAAAAAGGTTTTCTAATCATCAGGCAAATGTAAATGAAAGCCACAATGAGATATTACTTCATACCTGTTAGGATGGCTATTAGAAACATGTCAAATAATAATAAGAGTTGACCAAGAAATGGAGAAAAGGAACCCTTGTACACTATTTATAGGATTATAGACTGGTAAACCATTGTGGAAAACAGTATGAAGTTCCTAAAAACTTAAAAATAGAGCTACCACATTATCCAGCAATCCCACTCCTGTGTATATATCCAAAGCAACTTCTCTTTTTCAGAAAATTAATTTGGATAATCTTAATCACTTATTTACTTTACTGAAATAAGACTTTACTATCACTTATGAAAAAGCTGTATGTTTTCCTATTGTTACTAACGTACTAACGTATGAGTCTTTATGTCTCCTGGAGTTGATAATAGCCATTCCAAGAGATGTGAGGTGGTATCTCATTAGATAGCTGCACTCCCATTTTCATTGCAGAATTACTCACAATAGCCAAGATGTGGAATAAACCTAAGTGTCCATCAACAGATGAATGAATAAAGAAAATGTGGTATATATAAACAATGGAATACTATTCAGCCTTTAAAAAGGAAGGAAATCCTATTATGTGCAACAACATAGATGAACCTGAGGAACATTATGCTAAGTAACATAAGCCAGACTCAAGAAGACAAATACCTCATGATCTCACTTATACTGGTATGTGGAATCTAAAGAAGTCAGACTCATAGAAATAGAGAGTTGTATGGTGGTTGCCAGAGACTGGGAAGTGGAGGAAATGGGATTTTGGTCTAAGGGTATAAATCTTCAATTATTAGATGAATAAATTCTGGAGAGCTAACATACAGCATGGTGACTATAGTTAATGATACTATATTGTGTACTGAAAATTTGCTAAGAGGGTAGATCTTAAGTGTTCTCACTATCCACAAAATAATGGTAATTATGTGGGGTGATGGATACGTTAATAAGCTTATTTGTGGTAATCACTTTATAATGGATACATGTATCAGAACTTCATGTTGTATACCATAAATATGTACAATTTTTATTTGTCAATAATACCTCAATAAAGCTGAAAAATAGATTGATAGATAATTGATAAATTGATGATTGATAGAGATATACAGATAAATTAGATAAATACATAGGATGGATAGATAAATAGATGAGATGAGATAGATGATAGATTATAGATAGATAGATAGATAGATAGATAGATAGATAGATAGATGATAGATAGATAGATAGATAGATAGATAGATAGATAGATAGACAGACATTCTGGTTTCCCCAGGACCTTCAGAACAAACCTAGGTGCCTATCCTGGGATACAATTTTTTCATTTGGGAAAGATATGAGAAATTTGATCCTCCCTTTGGATCAGAGCAATTTTCTCTGTCATTAGGGAAACAAATTGCTACAGATTTAATCCTTATGCTATGAGAAAATTTTCTAGCAAAAGTGAAAGCAAACATTCTCTATAGTGTACATGTTTCTGGGGCTCAGAAGGCTAGAGCTTTTTGTAGGAATACTGAAAATAGAGGGAAGGGAAGGTACATGAGGGCAGAGCTCATATCATAAAGGTTCAAATCTGATTGCTTCTCCAGTACATAAAGCTTTTGTGACTTTGGGAAAGTTACATAATATCTCTGAGCCTCCATTTTCCAACATATTATATTGGGGTAGTAACAGTGATCTTTCAGCCTTGCTGTATGATTAACACAGGTAGTGACATATTGGGAGAGCATTCCCCAGATACTTCCATTTACTCTGGGAAAGTGAAAGATGGGTGCAATTGAGAGGTGAGTAGGGGAGAGAACATTTGAAACAGCTGCCGTGGGACATGGAGAAGGAAGTCCATGTAGATAATCGGACAGTATTGGTTTGTCATGGAGCAAGTTTACCGTTTTCTCCCTTGTCATTGATCTATGGCTTGAGAGCTCAATGAAAGTGTACTGTGAGGATAATCCAGGAAGAACCCCTTCTACCAGGATGCAAGAACAACAGTCACCCAAGGAATGCTCCAGGTTGGGAGCATACCACAGATATCTGTCATTTTTCCTACCCACTGAAATACATTTTTGCAGTGAAGATTGAGTTAAAGTGAGCACTCAATGTAATTTTGAATAGGAAAGGTCTCGAAGGAGTGCTTGGGGTGAGGTTCCTGGAAGGCATGAGGTCTAGCCCCATGCTTCTGGTGATAAGTCTATATGTGCACAAGAGCCTCAGCTTATATTTGCTAACAATAGGAAAATCTGTCTTTTCTGACAACTAATACTGTAAGTCTGTCTGAGTTCCTCAAAGGCCTAAATAGATCATATCTAAGGGGGAAAAATTGGAAAGAAGTAGGACAAAGTTCTAAATCCTAAAAACTTGAGAAAATTTTATAATTTTGGTTGCATAAAACTATAAATGAATGAGGGTTTAATCCTTTTCTCCACTCTACCTATTGTGAAAATCAGTCTGTCAAAGCCCTGAGCATCCTTACACATTCTTTCTGGGTATGCTGAGAATGCAAAGCCCTGACCATTATTTACTTGTGTCCTCTCAGGGTTGTGTTTGCAGGAAGCAGCCTTGAGCAACTGAGTAATGCCTTCTCCCAAACAATGAGCAGACTGACCTACCACACACTGTGAAGCAGTAAATTCCTCACGCGCAATATTCCTTTGCTGTGACAAATCCACTGTGTACGTTGCATCCACCTGGACCCCTCCCCTCAGACCCTGTGGGATCTGGGGGACATGAGAAACTAGCACCGACATCAGGCTCAACATCTTCCTTTGTCTCTTTAATATATTCCTTTGTCTCTAATCGAGATGTCTTGTGTTTTCCACTGAGATCCACGAAACAGTAGCGAGCCTTTGACCTTTTACAGATCTTTAAATTACCCACCTACCTAAGAGACTCTTGATATTGTTGGCATAACCTTTACCTCCCTGTGCCTTTCTTCCCATGAAAGGAAGCTGCAAGAGAGGATGAGTCAAGCAGCATAATACACTGCTGAGAGAGACATAAGAAGCTAAGGGAAGGAGAGCTGGAGGAGTACTTTATTCTTTATAACCCTTCTCACTATTTGAAATTATGTATTGACTTATTTTATGTCTATCCTACCAATAGAATGCAAGCTGCTACAAGTCAGGGACCTTATGATTCAACGTTGTATATTAGTGAGTAAAATAATGTCTAGCAATGTTGAGGACTAATAAATATTTGTTGAATGAGTGAATAATAATCTTGGTCCTGAGCTACCAGTTGATGTGGATTGGTGGTGCCCATTATGAGTTGCCCTGGCTCGTAATAGATGTCTGTTTGCTCTTGAGCTGCATTTAAAGCTATTCCTTTTGTCTTTGTGAGTCAGCACTAAATCTTTATATTCCTATAAAGTGAGCTTTTCTTTAATAAAAAGCCCTGTAAAGGGAATTTCTCCCCCCAATTGTTTTTCTAATCATCTCAATCACTAAAGGAAGTCCAATATAGGGATAGAAAGAAATGAACACCATGTAATGCATCTATGCTCAGTGCTTTACTTATGTTACCTCATTTAATTATAACTCTGCAAGACTAGTATATTAACATCTGTTTTACATATAAAGAAACTTAGATACAGAGAAGTTAAATAACCTGCTTTAGAATAGTTAGCTACTAAATGGTATAGCTTGGTTTTTCTGGTTTCAAAATTCCTCTTTTGATTCTATAGAATTATGATACTTTATGCCTT